ATAGGTCCAGGTGTATCTGAAAGACAAATAAACACATGTTAAGGATATAAAAAATAATTACAAATATAAAACAGGTTGAGCAGAGTAAGTAAAGACAGCAGCAGAGTGAAAAGTGTGGTCAGTTTGTCCTCCAGCAGTCTAAGACTATAGCAGCAGAACTAAGGGACAGCTCAGGAAACCCAAGCCAACCCTAACTATAGGATTTATAAAAAAGGAAAGTCTTAATCCTAGTTTTAAAACTGGATAATGTGTCAGCCTCATGGACAGAGATTGGAGGTTGGTTCCACAAGAGAGGAGCCTGAGAACTGAAATATCTGCCTCCCATTCTGTAAAAAGAAAAAAAGATAAAAGCTGAAAGTAGCAAATTGGTAGCTAAAGAATATAAATGGAACAAAGTCCATGCTCAAACTATATAAATGGATTGTACTTATAGCGCCTTTCCATCTGACCAAGATACTCAAAGTGCTTTACACTACAATCTGTACCCATTCATCCAGCACTCTACTACTTCTCTACAAACATAATTGAACAAATCATTCTAAAGAGACTAATCAGAGCTTTATCACATTCATACACTGATGGGACACACAGAGGAGGCAATGAGGGGTTCAGTGTCTTGCCCAGGGACACTTCGGCATGTGACTGCTGGTGGATTCGATCCCCCAACTTTTGCATTGGAGGACGACTGCTCTAACTGTTTCATTCTGTTCTGTCTTCATAGCAATATACAGAATGGACAGTTAAAGCAGTATTGTTGCTGACTATAACCTTTATTGTAGCAGTATAGAACTACACAACAAGTGCATCTCCCAGGGCCTCTCCGCCTGCGTCACACCCCAATATATCCCACTGGAAACGTAACCTGCACTAACAATCCACTTGTTACATCCTTTCTCTTTTTTTTTCTTTTTCAAAACTTAACATTTTCCTTAGAAACAAAATAAACATATTTTACAGAGCATTCAGATTTAAACATAGACACTTCCAAATAATGCATGTAATTATATTGGCAAACTAAAAAAACAATTATATATCTTCCTAGGTATTTAACTCAAGTGCATATTCTGTAAAATTATATTTTGATAATACATTCCTTACAAAACTAATTTATCAAATGAATAACTCCTTTACTTTTACATCTTTTTCTCTCTCTTTTTCTTTTTCTTTCCCCAGTGCAACAGAAACCCACAAACATAGAAAGTGGTTAAACATCCATCCATCCATCCATTATCTTTACCCGCTTGTTCCATTTTGGGTCACGGGGGTCGCCGGTGCCCATTTCCAGCAGTCACTGTGCGAGGGGCGGGGTACACTCTGGACGGGTCGCAAGTCCATCACAGGGCCACATAGAGACAAACGAGACAAACAACCATTCACTCTCTCACTCACACCTAGGGACAATTTAGAGTTACCAATCAGCCTAACATGCATGTTTTTGGACTGTGGGAGGAAACCGGAGCACCCAGAGAAAACCCACGCATGCACGGAGAGAACATGCAAACTCCACCCAGAAAGGCCCCTGGACCGGGGTTTGAACCAGGGACCTGCTCGCTGAGAGGCAGCAGCTCTACCAGTTGCGCCACCGTGCTGCCGTGGTTAAACATGTAATGTGATAATATTATGTAGTATAGTCCTTCAAATAGGCCGGTTTCTTAACCTGAGGACCAGACCTTGTAGTAACGGTGTCTTGGTCACCACCCTGATGACCACGTTCATCAGCTACCACAGTTTCTGTGTTTGTCCCTGGGTGTTCTAATGTTGAGGTTGGGCAGTAGTTGTGCCTGACATGGCGACAATTTCTTCTTAGGACACCACCCGACTCCATCTCCACCTCATAAGATCTGGGGCTCACTGGTCTAATCACTTTAGCTGTTTTCCAGGTTTTATAAGGCTCAAATGGTTGAACTCAAACACTGTCTCCTGCTCCGAAACAGTCTAAATCTTTTGCTGTGCGGTTGTAGTATTTCTCCTGTCTTTGTCGGTTGTTAATTAGTCTCTGTTTGTTGTTTGACACCTTAGGCTCCAACAGTGTCTCTTTTGTAGGAAGAAGGGTCCGGGTCCTCCTACTGAGAAGTCTCTGTGCTGGACTTGAGGTGAGACCTTGGCTCGGTGTGTTGCGATGGTCCAATAGAGCCAAGTATGGATCCTGTCCAGCTGTTGCAGCTTTCTGCATGAGGTGTTTTGCTGTTCTGACAGCTGACTCTGCTTTTCCATTGCTTTGTGGGTATCAGGTGAAGATGTTCTGTGTTGGAATTCCCACTTTTGGCTGAACTTTTTAAATTCATGTGATGAGTATTGAGTTCCGTTATCTGAGATTAGCACATCTGGAATCCCCTGACGAGCAAAGTGTGCTTTCAGTTTGTGGATCACTGTGGTACTTTTGGTGTCTGGTAGAAAATCAACCTCCCAAAAATTTGAATAACAGTCCACAGTAATCAGGTAGTCCTTATTGTGCCGTGAAAACAGATCCGTTCCTACCTTGGCCCAAGGCCTGTAGACGGTGTCGTGTGGATGTAAAGTCTCTTTTTGTTGTTTGGGGTCCACTGACCTGCACATGTCACATTTGGAGGTAAACGTCTTTATCTGCTCATTCATCCCTGGCCAGTACACACACTCACGTGCTCGTCTGAGGCAGCCCTCCACTCCCAGGTGTGATGAGTGTATACGACGGGTTAGGTCCGCTCTTAGTGCATCAGGAACTACTGCTCTTTCCCCCTTAAACACTTTTCCATCCTGAACGCTAAGCTCGTCCTGAAAAGCGAAATAGTGTTGAATGTGTAGCTCGACATCTTTTTTGTACTTTGGCCATCCTGTCAGGATCAACTCAATCACTTCCTGCAGCTTTGAGTCCTCTGTTGTTGCATAACGGATGGCTGTCAGTCTTTCTGAAGAGATGGGCAGGTAGGAAATCATGTTAACAGTGTCTTTCTCAGACTCTGTGACCCCCTGACCACTGTCAGGTAAATAAGCTCTGCTTAGTGTGTCAGCTAAAAGCTTGTCTCGACCAGGCACATGGATCACATTAAAATCATATTGCTGCAGCCTCAGTAACCTTCTCTGTAATCTCTTTGGTGCAATAAGCAGTGGTTTTCTCACAATATTTTCCAGTGGCTTATGGTCACTCAGTACAGTCACTTTTCTACCATAAGTATACTGGTGGAACTTTTCTGTCCCGAACACTATGGCCAAACATTCCTTTTCTATCTGGACATAACCCCTTTCTGTGGGAGTCAGTGCTCTGCTTGCAAATGCTACAGGTTTCCCTTTCTGTGTCAAAGCTGCTCCTGGTCCTGTCTCTGAAGCATCACATTGCAGGGTTAGCTCCTCGTTTTGATCACAGTACTTGAGTAGTGGTGCATTTGTTATTTTATCTTTCAGCCTTTCTAAAGCTGTCTCATGCACCTCTGTCCATTCCCCCATGTTCTCTTTGTGTGTAAGTTGTCTCAAAACTTCACAGTCTTCAGAAAGATGATCACAAAACTTTGAAAGGTAGTTTAGCACACCTACAAGCCTCTGTACACCCTTAACATCTGTGGGCCTCGGCAGCTCACGGACTGCCCGTACTTTCTCTGGGTCAATTCGAAGGCCTTCTGCTGTTAATAAGTGTCCATGTAGGGTACAGACTCTCTCCTCAGCTTAAACTTGTGGTCTCTGACAAAAAACTTGTAACGCTCAACAGTCTCATTCAGCTTAGGACTGCAATGGTCGTCAAACAGTGTCATCATTGAATTCACTGTTCTCCTTGCAGCTGTAGAACCGCTCATCAGTGTTGTCTAAAGTTCTCCTCCTTTCTCCAAGAAGGTAGTTGAACCACTTCACTTTAGTGGTTTCCTCTGCGTCGGGCACAGTCAGGTCTATATACTGTGTAAACTCCTCTTTCCAACTTTTCCAGGTCTTTGCTAAGTTGGCTGAATCCACACAAAGTGTAGGCGGTGGCCTGAGACCCTCCATTGTAACTTGTGTTGTTCTTGTCTGCTCCTTCTTCGTCTTCTCCACAATGGCCAGCTGCTCCAACTCCAGGGCTAGGCTAACAAGTTAGCAACACTTTTAGCTCTTCATGGCTTGTCACAAACTTATTTTGGTTGACTTCACGACCGCTGCCACCATGGTGTTCTGTCTTCATACCAATATACAGAATGGACAGTTAAAGCAGTATTGTTGCTGACTATAACCTTTATTGTAGCAGTATAGAACTACACAACAAGTGCATCTCCCAGGGCCTCTCCGCCTGCGTCACACCCCAATATATCCCACTGGGAACGTAACCTGGACTAACAATCCACTTGTTACACTAACCACTCAGCCACAACCGCCCTGTGAGAAGACAAAAATGGAGCAAGGACGGTGAAGCAGATTTTCAACATAACGTTATTAAATAACTGAAGAGACCTTTATGCATTTTCTGAGGAAAATACTTATGCATTTATGACTATGTATTTTAATATGTAATTAAAACATATTTAAAAGCATCCATCTTTTCCAAGAGCTGTTTTCTATGTATGAATGACTGAAAACAGAACGCAGTATTTAAAAGTAGTAATGTACTGAAAAGAAAAACAGGAAAACAAATGATGCAACTCCCTCAGTAGATGCTGATTGAGTTTATTTAGTAAAACAAATGCACATATATACATAGTACATCAATTAAAACTACTGGATAAAGGGAAAAGACTTATTTCCATTGTTGTCCAATGAACAGTGTACAGTACTGAATTTCTTCTCATGATTCCAGTTCGTTGTTCCAGTTCAGGACAACTCCTCTGGCCACGCCGTCACTCGTGTGTTTTAGCGACCTCTGCTGGCCGCCGGCGGAACTACACGCTGCTCACTTGACGTCACGTGGGTTCCTGTGACGCACAGAAATTTTAAACTCTTGTCCTTCTCAGTGATGGCGGCTTCGTTTGGGTCTCTCCCTGCCAGCAGTAACAACAAATTTTACTTCACCCGACAACAGATCGAGAACAGTCCATCTCGGAGAGCAGGACTGGACCCGGATAAGGAGCTGTCCTACAGACAACAGGCGGCGAACCTGCTGCAGGACATGGGCCAGCGGCTCAATGTGTATCTTTGATCGCGCTGCGTCGCACCAAGCTAACCTTAGCTCGCTGGCTAGCTGCGCTTAGCCTCTCCTGGAGCCGGGTCGACGAGGAGCCGGGCTGGTATTTGTTGTTGTGTTGTTTCTCGACGGCTTCTTCTTCTTTGTGTAGTTGTCGTCAGTTTGTCTCGGGGTTTGTTGGTTTTAGTCCGCGGGAGCTTGATGAAGTTCCCGTCAGCGGAGGAGCGTCCTGCCCGCCGGGATGAAGGCCTGTGGTCTGCGGGCCTTCGCTTCGTTAGCCTCAGCTCAGTGTACGGAAGGAAACGTCATTAGTTTTTAAAATGCTATTAAGAGCTTCCAGAAAACGCATTTTAGAATATGTTTAACCTGTAGTCACGCTTGTGTATGGGATTTAAACAGCTTCTCGGCCACTAGTGTTCTGCTCCAGCGTGGCTTACAGCTTTTGTTCTTCACGTAATTAAAAGGTCTGATTTTAATGCGTGTGTTGCAGTAAATGAGTTTGTGCAGAGTAACAGTAAATACAGCAGGTCCTGGTGTCTGGAGCTCTCCATTTGTCTTAACTTGTGTCAGATCCCAACTCACCATCAACACAGCGATTGTGTACATGCATCGGTTTTACATGGTCCAGTCTTTCACCAGATTCCACAGGAACGTAAGTACATTCTGACTTGTGTCCGCCTGCCTTTACGCAGACTATACATTTTCTATTTGTGAACTTTGCTATTTTCCCAGGTTATTTCTCCGGCCGCTCTGTTCCTCGCTGCCAAGGTGGAGGAGCAGCCCCGGAAGCTGGAGCATGTCATCAAGGTGGCCCACGCCTGTCTCAACCCTCAGGAACCGTCTCCAGATGTGCGCAGTGATGTAAGTGCTGGGCACGTGCAACAATTTGTCAAGGTTTATGCAACTGAAGCTGTAAACTTCATAGATTCAGTCGTGTGCCTTCTCAACGTCTAATATCCATGTGGTTTTAACTTCGTGACACGTCTATACCGCTGTTTTCCCTACGAATGAAGTATTGTTTTATAACTAAGGTACAGATTAGAGTTTTTTTGCTCATTTTTTCCTTACAAGGTGGAACAATTATTATTATTTCTCATCATCTTTTGTCACGTTGCATGTAATCTGGGAGCATGTTCCTGGCTGGGCGTTTTGTTTAAAGATGCATCTGTTACGTGCTGAGGGGGCTTCATGTATGGGTTGAGAGAGCAAAAGACAGACGTGTCTTTCTACGTAGAGCTGTGCAGGTGTTGTGATGTCTAGCCGTTATAAAACAAGAGTACTGTATTTCCTCTTTGTTTGTGGTTGTGATTATTCAGTCACTCCTGTGAGGCTTCTTTGGCACTACAAGAATAAACTGGACCCACCATGGTGTACGTGCAGGTCCAAACTAAACCCATTATTATAAGAAAGCTTTTCAGATGAGTGGCCAGAAATGTTCAAAACCACAAAGTGTGTTCAGTGTCTCTTGTTTGACGACAGTTAGAGGCCTCCCAGTGAGTAACGTGCCTGTCCTCTCAACCTCAGGCTTACCTGCAACAAGCCCAAGACCTGGTCATTCTTGAGAGCATAATTCTCCAGACCCTGGGTAAGTTTAGGAGCCGGGTCCATTTATTCTGCTCCAGAGACGCGGGACAGTAAATCTAACCTTGTCCAACTTTTGTTTACAGAAACCAAATGTATTTTGCAGCATCGGAAAATAACGCGTCAAATTCTAAAGCTTATTTTAGCTCCTAACTCTTTATGTATCTGTGTCATGTGGAAAATTACATTCAGCATTTTTCTAACTTTACACTTTAAATTTGAATTAATGATACACATTTTCTGGATTTCAGGGGGTTTGCGTTTACATTACGTTTTCCATGGAAACTGGATTTGTTGAAACTGATTCCAACTAAACAAAGATATTTTGACTTTTGCATTTGATTAAATGCGTTTGACTTTTTTATTTTTTATTTCAGCTTTTGAGATCACAATTGATCATCCTCACACTCACGTTGTCAAGTGCACGCAGCTCGTTAGAGGTGAGTATCTAAGCTGAGCTGCAGTTTCTTTACCTCCACACAGACTGGCTGTTTGACAGGTTTTAATGTTGGTTCAATTTTCTTTGTTCTGTTATTCCAGCCAGTAAAGATCTGGCACAAACATCATACTTTATGGCAACCAACAGGTACAGTCATAGTTTTCTGTAAAAAAGAAAAAGCTTGTGCATTCTTTACAAGAGTGCTGGGTTTTCAGGCTTTTTCTTTTTGTTTTGAGACATTTCCAAATGTTAACCCACTAAAAGATTTTTCCGCTCTCTCTTTTGTCTCCTGGTTGTTTCCACCTTGGATGTAACCTGCCACACAGTCTGCACCTGACCACCTTCTGCCTTCAGTATAGTCCGCCTGTTGTGGCCTGTGTGTGCATCCATCTCGCCTGCAAATGGTCCAACTGGGAAATCCCAGTGTCTACGGATGGCAAACACTGGTGGGAGTACGTCGATTCCACTGTTACCCTCGAGCTGCTAGACGGTATGTGTTGTAAATTATTATTCACCAGTTGGTCACTCTATCTACTGTACATGTTTATTTTTCTCCAACTACTCTTTAACTCTCTATATATATATATATTTAATTTCCAGCAAACTTTGATGTTTATATTTTACCAAAAAATAAAATTTTTAGAAGGACTTGCAAATTGAAGTGCAAAATATAGGTTTAAAGTGCCAACTCCTAGAAGGTATAAACAACGCTTTTTATTTTAATAAAATAAATTAATTGTACATTTAGCTTAGCAACCTAAAAAATCTTACGTGCGTGTCACGTAGTAATAGGTCAGGTGTGCACAGAGGAACCATTTTTAATGATTTGAACCGATCAGGGTGTTTCTCCTGCTTCAAGGTATAAAAATAGGTGTTTTGTCATTTTACTTAAAATGCCTTTTTTTAAACAGACATTAAATTGTAATGCAAGAAAAGCTGGTGGGCCAACAGGTTTTCATGAGTATATACGTCTTGACACCAAACAGGTTCGGCACAGTAATAATCAGTTGAGCATGAGCCCAGATTTTAATTCAAGTGTTTTCTCAAATATTTATTTGGTCGCAGCTTTAAGAGTCGGTGTAACTTGATTCGGTTTAACGTCTTAAAAAGCTCTGAACGGTTTTGTTTTTGTGGTGAGCCAAGGAGAGCTAGCTGAATTTACAACCCACTGTTCTTATCAGCCAGCTTGAGCTACTCCGATACTTATAGGAATATACACTATATACAAGGTTTTTAGTTTGTTTTGCAGGCACAACTACAAGTACTTCAGTACGATTACTTGCAAATACTGATACAAAGTAGTTCATGAGGTATTAGTTAAACATTACACAATGACTTTAGAAGCACATTTCTTTTATTAAAACTCAGCAAACTGTCGTAACATCACCCGTGTTTATTCTAAACTGTGGCTCGTTCTTTCTTTTTGTTCTTGGTGACTAACGAAGCAGGAAAGGAAATGTCACCAAGCACAAAAATGGTATCAGTTTGAAGTATCGGGGTGTTTTTATGAGTATGAGTACTTGAGGCTGGTCCTGGGGAACCATCATCTTTACCCACTTCTTTCTTTTCGGGTCACTGGTGTCACTGGTGTCCATGTCCAGCAGTCACTGTGCGAGAGGCGGAGGACACCCTGGACAGGTCTCGAGTCCATCACAGGGACCAACATTAGAACTCTACAGTGAAAACATCTTTGTTCCACATAAAGAAAAACAGTACAGTCTCTCTCTCGCTACTTCACGTTTCGTTTATCGAGGACTCGCTCTATCGTGGTTTTTCAAAATAAAAGTGGACATGACACACAGTTGGCTGATTGATGGATGAGCCGCACGATCGGCATGGAATTTTTATTTAAAATGTATTATTTTAAATTATTTAGCATCTGTTGCACATTTGTGCAGCCCGCACTGTAGGAGACACTTCCTGCTGCAGCTGATCAGCAGCAGAGAAGTGGGCGTGGCCAAGAGCAGACGAGGCAGGGAGCCGACATCACGACATTCTGTCTCTCAGAGTTTTTAGAGTTTGGAAACATTTACAATACTGCAAGAGTGTGGCAAGGGTTTAAAACACATTATACATACATACATACATACATACATACATACATACATACATACATACATACATACATACATACATACATACATACATACATACATACATACATACATACATACATACATACACACATACACACATACACACATACACACATACACACATACACACATACACACATACACACATACACACATACACACATACACACATACACACATACACACACACACACACACACACACACACACACACACACACACACACACACATACATACACATACACACACATACACACACATACATACACATACATACACATACACATACATACACATACATACACATACATACACATA